GACCTTCATTTAACTATATAAAAATATCATTATTATTCCCAAATATACTTGTATATTAGCAAATAATCATGAGCAATCAGCATTAAAATGAAATCTTATTCACTCTATCACACCCCCCAACTAGCATGTTGCTAGTCCCTAGCAATTCAAGCGAAGAAAGAGTATTGCAACCTGTCCCAAGTGAAAATCCTTTTATACGAACTAAGCAAAAATATTCAGGCACATCAAACAAAGCATTCACCAGAGATCAACAATGCTATTAAAGTTTGTCTGTCAAAGCACACTCCTAGAACTAGTATGTGTGTGTGTGTGTTAAGCTCTTCACCATCTTTCCATCAAACCAAAACTCATACAATGTCGAGAACATCCCAGACAAAAGTTATTTTTGCAAATATTAAGTGTAATATTCAACCAAAAAAAAAAAAACTATTGCCAACAAAGGTAATGAAGGTTGAAAAAAATTGCCACTCAAATATATGGAAGGAATAATTGTCTGCGGGCAAATGAGTGAAATAGGAGCAAAAGAGTGAAATAACAAAATTGATCTCATGAGAGGATGCCAACTAATGGGAACTCAACCATTCTAACCACTAACCCACTTAGGATCAAAATGTCAATAAAGGGTTGTAATATGACTGGGGTCAAATTGAAAGGAAGGATAAGAAGATTGAAGAAAAATATTAATTCTCAAGTATATATTGAGGATCTTCATCAACTTGTAGACTTAAGGGCTATCTGGTGCCCATTTTTCCACCAAGGGGGCCCCACATGTGAGACCTTTGGTCAAAGTATGCGATTGCAATTATGTCCAATGGTAGAAAAATAGATTTTTTTTTATTTTTTATTTTTTATTTTTCTGGACCAAAGAAGCTGCTCCAGACATGGGCTTAACATGGCTTCCCACAATATTATGTTATTCTTGTTGTGTTTCTTCTCAATTCAGAACACTTTTTTCCTTTTTCCTTTCCCCCCCCCCCTTTTTTTTTTTGTTTTTTTAGGGATTTTCGCAACAACACACCTTGCTTTAAAATATTTTTCATACCCTTTTCAACAGCATATTCCACAATCTATACTACATACTTGATATTTGAAGGTAAAGGAGATGTTCAACTTAAGCTCAACCTCCAATGTGGAGTGGGTGAAGAAATAAATGGCTTCACAAAGACTGATGAGACTTTAGCTCAAAGTGACTTCTATTCAGTGAGACATTGTTCGGCTTGAAAGGCTTAAACTACATCCTAAATTGACCTTCATCATTTCGTGAGTATAATCAAACCAACATACCACAAACCGTGTAATGGCATTCCCATTAGTCAACCAAATTTGGGGAATAATGAGATCATGTAACGAGACAATGCTGAAGGTAATATTAAGAATATGATAACATCTCTCAGAAAAATGAGAATGGCCCAATTGCTCACAAGTGTAAAAGGTTGCAACTTTAATTTGAATGTTCTCTAATTGTATGAGTTCCACATCCATCAAACCACATGAGCTTAGTTTACGTGTTTGAAAAGAAAATTTTTTTGAGGTGTTTCAACATCTTACTCAGATAGCACTATTGACTCAAGCAAAAATACATTGTAATCAAGCCAAAATACCAAAGTTGAATTCATGTAAATTGGAATGCATTCATGATACCAAATCTAAATTCATGCAAACGGGAATGCATATATTCATGCTCAGCACCCCCAACTAAAACCTAACATTGTCCTCAATGTGGAGCAAAGAAAGGGAAAAAAAAAAAAGATAAGAAGAAACTTCCCTTTTCATTAGTGGAGATGGGTCAAGCTTCATCTCTCTTGGCTTCCTCATCAACGCATTCAAGTACTGGAGCAAGAAGGTAGAGAACTGCATCACTGCCACACCCAAAATAAATAAATAAATTGAAATCAGAAAACACACAAAGTAATTAACGAAAAGAAGAATATAGAAAACTAAACAAATTGCAAGGGAATAAAAAAAAAAAGAGCAAAAAAGCGCTTAGTTATAGTAAGTAGCTTGACTGTTGCTCTTCTTCTAGGCTGGATCAAGAAGAATGGTGGTCTTCTTGTTGTCAAATTCTCCACTTAAATAAGGCTTCAAACGTTGTCCATTCACTTTAAATGTCTCCTTCTCATCATGAGTGATTTCCACTGCTCCATGGGGAAAAACTTTAACAATTGTGAATGGGCCTGACCATCGAGATTTGAGCTTTCCTGGAAAAAGACGAAGCCTTGAATTGTAAAGTAAAACTTGTTGTCCAAGTAGAAACACTTTCTTTGAGATGTGCTTATCATGCCAAGCTTTGGTCCATTCCTTGTAAATCCTTGCATTCTCGTAAGCTTCATTACGAAACTCGTCCATCTCATTAATTTGCAAACAACACTTTTCACCAGTTGCTTGAAGATCCATGTTTAGTTGCTTCATCGCCCAATAAGCTTTGTGCTCGAGCTCTACAGGAAGGTGGCATGCTTTTCCATAGACTAATCGATAAGGAGACATTCCCAAAGGTGTTTTGTATGCTGTCCGATAAGCCCACAGCGCATCATCTAGCTTTTGGCACAATCTTTTCGAGAATTGTTAACTGTTTTCTCTAGAATTTGCTTCACCTCCCTATTTGATATCTCCGCTTGTCCATTTGTCTGAGGGTGATAAGCCAATGCTCTTCGATGTCTAACTCCATATTTTAATAATAGAGCTTCAAACTGCTTGTTACAAAAGTGATTCCCTTCATCGCTAATGATGGCCCTAGGAGTCCTAAATCTGGAAAAAATATTCTTCCAGAAAAAATTCTGCACCACTTTTCCATCATTAGTAGGAGTTGCGATTGCCTCTACCCACTTAGATACATAATCCACTGCTAGAAGAATGTATTTGTTATTGTAGGATGAAGGAAAGGGTCCCATGAAGTCAATACCCCAAACGTCAAACAACTCCACCTCTAGAATATTCTATAAAGGCATTTCATTTCTTTTAGATATGTTCCCAGAGTGTTGGCATCTATCACAAGAGGCAATAAAAGTATGAGAATCCTTGAACAATGTTGGCCAATAAAATTCGGATTGGAGAACTTTAGCTGCTGTCCGATGAGGTCCGAAATGCCCTCCACATTCTAGTGTATGGCAATGCATCAAAATATCTGTCATCTCCTCTTCTAGAACACATCGCCTGATTATTTGGTCCACGCAATGCCTGTAGAGTATTGGTTTTTCTCAATAGTAATGCTTTACTTCCGACAGAAATTCCTTCTTTTGTTGATAAGAAAAGTCGGAGGGAATGATTTTTCCTGCAAGAAAATTGACATAATCTGCATACCATCGTAAAGGATTGCTAGAAGAAATAGCTAAAAGTTGCTCATCCGGGAATTTATCATCTATGGGCAGTTGTTGGGACTCAAGTTGCTCCTGTGACTCTAGCTGTGAGAGATGATCTGCCACCATATTTTCAATTCCCTTCTTGTCTTTAATCTCAATATCAAATTCTTGTAGCCAGAGAACCCAACTGATGAGTCTTGGCTTGGCTTCCTTTTTCATGATAAGGTATTTTATTGCGGAATAATCAGTGTAGACTATCACTTTATTCCCAATGAGATATGGTCGAAACTTGTCAAAAGCGAAGACTATAGCAAGAAGTTCCTTATCAGTTGTGGCATAGTTGAGTTGGGCATCATTAAGGGTTCTACTAGCATAATAAATGGTATGAAACCGTTTGTTCCTTCGTTGTCCCAATACTGCACCAACCGCATAGTCACTTGCATCGCACATCAATTCAAACGGTAGATCCCAATCCGGAGCCGACAAAAGCTTCTCTTTTAGTAGCAAGAACGCCTTATCACATTCTTCATCAAACACTAAAGGTGTTTCTTTCACAAGCAAGCTACAAAGGGGTTTGGAGATCTTGGAAAAGTTTTTAATAAATCTTCTATAAAATTCGGCATGTCCAAGAAAGCTCCGTACTTCTTTTATTGTTGTTGGTGGTGGAAGCTTCTCGATTGTCTCAATTTTTGCTCTATCCACTTCAATCCCCTTTGAAGAGATCCGATGACCCAAGACAATTCTCTCTTTTACCATGAAGTGACACTTTTCCCAATTAAGTACAAGGTTAATTTCTTCACATCTCTTCAAAACTAACGCCAAATTCCCAAGACAATCATCAAAAGACGATCCGAATATAGAAAAATCATCCATGAAAATTTCAATAATCCGCTCTACCATATCTGAAAAGATTGACATCATACACCTTTGGAAGATGGCTGGCGCATTGCAAAGTCCAAATGGCATTCGATGGAAGGCGAAAGTGCCATAAGGGCATGTGAATGTGGTCTTCTCTTGGTCCTCTGGTGCTATGGCTATTTGATTATACCCCGAATAGCCATCTAGGAAGCAATAGTACTCATGCCCAGCTAGCCTGTTCGACATTTGATCAATGAATGGCAAGGGGAAGTAGTCCTTCCGAGTGGCTTTGTTCAATTTTCGATAATCCATGCAAAATCTCCACCCAGTAACTATTCTTGTAGGGATCAACTCATTGTTAGCATTCTTCACCACTATCATTCCTCCCTTTTTTGGTACTACTTGCACAGGACTGATCCATGAGCTATCAGAAATTGGGTAAGTCACTCCGGCATCAAACCATTTTAAGACCTCTTTACGCACCACTTCCTTTATTATCGGATTGAGTCTTCTTTGATGCTCCACCGTTGGCTTGCAATCTTCCTCCAACAAAATTCGACGCATACAAATAGAAGGTCTAATTCCCTTAATATCTGCAAGTGTCCATCCAATAGCTGCCTTATGTTCTCTAAGCACTCTTAACAACTTTTCCTCTTCTTCAATTGAAAGCTTGGATGAAATAATTATCGGAAGAGTAGATGATTCACCAAGATACACATATTGAAGATGTTCAGGTAAGGGCTTAAACTCCAATGCGGGTGGTTTCTCAATAGATGGAAGGGGCCGTGATGTTCCATGTCCCTGATCTTCAAAATATTTTCTGCGGTTAGGACCAAAAGAATCCATTCACAAAGCATATTCTAACACTTCTAGATCCTCCACCATAGTCGGATTGGGATTAACCAAAAAAACTTCCAACGACTCCTTTTGTTGGTTAAATACTTCAGTGACCAAAGAGTCGATTGCTCGGATGTTGAAACAACTCTCACTTGTATCCGGATAGTTGATGGCATCAAAAACATTAAAGGTTACCTCCTCTTCTTGTACTCTCAACCGCAATTCTCCCCTTTGGACATCAATTAGAGCTCGGCCAGTAGCTAAGAATGGTTTGCCAAGAATGATAGGAATTTCCCTATCCTCTTCCATGTCTAGAATGAAGAAGTCGGCTGGAAGAATAAACTTGTCCACCTTAACAAGCACATCCTCAATACTTCCTCTTGGGTGTTTTATTGAGCGATCCGCTAATTGCAATGATACTGTAGTAGGTCTCACCTCACCTAGTCCAAGTTTCCTAAAAATAGACAAAGGCATAAGATTAATACTTGCACCTAAGTCACATAAAGCTCTTTCAAACATAGAATTTCCAATTGAACAAGGGATAGTAAAACTCCCTGGATCCCAATTTCTTTTGTAGAATTGCACTGCACTCTTCAGTAAGGGCTGTTGTCTCATATTCTTCCAATCTCCTCTTATTTGACAAGATGTCCTTCATAAATTTCACATAGCTTGGCATTTGTTTAAGAGCTTCTGCAAAAGGAATGTTAATATGCAATTTTTTAAACACATCTAAAAATTTAGAAAATTGCTTATCAAGCTTATTCTTTTTGAGTCGTTGAGGAAATAGAACTTTTGGTGCTAGATCCTGTGGTGGGATTGGTTGATTGTCAAAAATCTCCTCGCTAAGCATTGGTGTGTGGAGTTGCATCTCTTGATCTTCTTTTTCAAACTTTTCACCAGTAATTGGAGCTTCTACTCTTTTCCATTTCTCAAAGTGATCGCCTTGTACTATTCCTTTGGATTCACTTCAGTCGTGCTAGGTAAGTTTCCTTGTTGTCTCCCAGTTAGCATATTAACCAATTGACCGACCTGGACTTCTAAATTCCATATCGAAGCCGCTTGATTCTGAAAATTGGTCTTAGTCTCTGTTATGAATCTATTGGCGTTAGTTGCTAATTATGCCATTGCTTCTTCAAGTGCTGACTTCTCTTTCGACGGATCACTAGATGATGGACCAGGTAGAGGTTTCAATACATTCTGATTATTCCATGAAAAATTGGGGTGATTTTTCCATCCAGGATTGTATGTTGTACTATATGAATTGTTTTGCCGATTGTAATTGGCAACAAAGTGTGCTTGCTCCGCTTGGGATTGAAAGAAGGGATTTTCCACTTGACATTCTTCACTCGGATGGTTTCCATCACAAAAATCACAAGCTGGTGGTGTCAAGTGAATGGTATTTGCTGTCAGTTGGTTGGCCTTCAATTGTTGAGTAAGATTATGGACTTGAGTTGTCAAGGTAGTGATAGCTTCAACTTTATGCACTCCTACTACTTTCTTCAGTAAAATTCTCTCTCATTGCCATCTCCTCCAACAAATCATATGCATCATCTAGGGATTTTCCCATAAACGCTCCTCCTGAAGCGGCATCTATTAGAGTTCTTGTTGAGGCTGCAAGTCCATTATAGAAGTTCTGAACTTGCATCCACTTCGGCAATCCATGGTGAGGGCATCGCCTAAGTAGGTCTTTATATCGCTCCCAAGCCTCGTAAAGTGTTTCACCCTCCAATTGAGAAAAAATTTGAAATTTCATTGCGCATCTTTGTTGTCTTGGCTGGTTGAAAAAATTTAGCTAGAAACTTCTGAGCTAAATCTTCCCAACTAGTGATTGAATCTGCAGGTAATGAATTTAGCCAACTTTTTGCTCTATCTCGAAGAGAGAAAGGAAATAGCCGGAGGCGAATGACATCATCAGTAACACCATTTTGCTTGAAGGTGTCACAAACTTCCAGAGAACTTGCTATATGGGCATTGGGATCATCACTCGAAAATCCATGGAATTGAATTGATGTTTGGATCATTTGTAGGATAGTTGGCTTAATCTCAAAGTTGATGGCTACAATACTAGGTTTCCTGATGACTGAATTGATTCCTATGACCTGTGGTAGAGCAAAATCCCTTAGAGCTCGTGTGTCACGTCTTGGATTCTCGTTGTCTGCCATAGTGTTTGAATTTTTTCGAGCTTCTTGCTTCTTTTTCCTCAGTCTTTTTGCTGTTTTTTCAATTTCTGGATCATAAGGCAGCAGTTCCAAGCTCTTTTTGCTTCTCATGCACTAAGCAAAACCTAGAAAAAAAATCAAGTTAGATCAAATTTAACTAGTATTGATATTATCAATAATTTTATCTAAAATCCCCGGCAACGGCGACAAAAACTTTTTGGTTGAAATCGCAAGTGCACGAGTCGTAACAAGTAATAAAGTGAATGAGTAAGAGTATCGTCCCAGGAGGAATGAAAAATTACGAATAATTATCAAAATTTATTAAATGATGATCTATTTGACAATTCGAATGTAAATGAATTATTAAACCAAAAAGTTTAAACTAAGATGAATTGAACAAGCAAGTTAAAATCAAGAAAACAATACTCTAGAGTTTTCGATTCACCATAAGTACTCATATGTGAATATCCTAATTGAATTAATTGTAAGTATTCCCAGCCTTCTTGGTCATCCTCTCCTTTTTTTTTTTTTTCCCTCTTCCACTCCTTTCTTTTTTTCTTTCAAACCATCTTCACCAAGAAAAGAAAGAATCAATTCCGAATTCGCCTCTTCAATTTAGCAGATTTTTATAGCCTTGGATTGTGAGCCGTTTTTCACTTAGAAAACGTGAGAATTTCAAAATCTCTATTTCAGGAGAAATTGTAGCACATTAAATTAGCTTTCCAGGGCCTCTTGAATCAGCTCAATACGACATCGGTGGGGGGAGATATGGTGAAAATACGAAGGGCATTATATATGTGTTTCCAATTCGGGATTTCTTCACAGCTAGAGACGTCTTCCACAGATTTTGCTCCCTTCATTAATCTTTCCAATCTATTTTATTTTGACTGGGTTGGGTTAAGTCCACTTGAATTGAGTCCTCTCTTATGGGCCTTGAACTTTGTTATTGTTGGGCTCCATTTCTACAATAAAATTGCAAACACCACAATTAGGATTGACCTTCATTCAACTATATAAAAATATCATTATTAATCCCAAATGTACTTGTATATTAGCAAATAATCATGAGCAATCAGCATTAAAAATGCAATCTTATTCACTCTATCGGACGTGCTTGTGTAGCAATATTCTAGCTTGCATAAAATTTTGAATCTTAAGTATTGAATGAGCTAGAACAAATGCGGGATAGAGTGGGAGACTGGTAAAGGGACCAAGATGACCTATCAGATAGTAAGTGAATGAAAATGGTTTTGATAAAGGATCAATGTTATAAAGGTTCAAGTGCTTCAATTATACGATTTGAATCTCTTAGCTCGAAAGTGGTTAAGCTAAAAGATATTGCAGTTGAATATATTCTTTTTAGTGTTGTTTACATGTCAACACTATATATATTGGATCTATCTTGTGTGGATAGTAGATTCAAAGGTTAGAAACTCACTTTATATGAGATCAAAAGGTATATTATTCTATTGTCGAGTCTTTGACTTGATACAAAGTAGATATATACAAATAATAAAGATGGAGTGGATGTTTATATGACTGATACTGAAATTTAGTATTGCAAAGTGGAGAAATTGACCTCCTATTTGATATTAAGATAATATCAAAGACTCTAGTAAATTTGATCTCAGTTATTGTTCTTCTAAGAGTGGTCTCTTACTTGAACTTATGCGTGGTATTTCTGTTCATACTCACAGTGGTGATGTTTATTATGGTTCTGGAAATTTGTGCAATTGTTTGAGGTTTTGAGTTGAGAAAACCATTCAAAACTGTAAGAGCTAAATTTTCGTAGAATAAATCCATCCAAATTTCTTTGCGGAGTGTGATTAAAAGAGATAGAGATGGAACTTTACTTTTCATTACACTTATAGATAGATTCATGCATTTCAGATACGTCTATGATTTTCTTAAATTGAAGATTTTGTACTGGTTTAGATTTTTCTGAAGTCAAGTAGAAAATCAGATTGTGGAAGTGAAGACTTTGAGAATTATTTGATGTCATGACTCTCTATCACGAGGTATCAATGATCTATGCAATGAAAGAGATTCTTATTTGATAGACTATTCCTCAATCACCAATAATTATATGGTGTATTTGATTGAAGGAACGAAATATTGCTGAATGTGATGAGGTTTGAGATATACAGTCCAACTTACGTATTTGCTTTTGAAAAGAGCGTTGCCTAACTACAACACTTTAGTTAATGGAGCTTTCTCAATGTTGGTAACTTCATAATATATAAGTTTGGACACATAAATAATCTAATGTGGGTTATCATACACTCTTAATTGACCATATATGTTCTCGATAATGAGTATAGGAACATGAGTCTGTTAAGAACAAGATGTGTCTCAATGACATACATGTACTCCAAAAAGGTACTTAAGTGAAATTCTTGGATGGATATCAAGTCATAAGATATTACATTTGACATTTTTCCCAATAAGGGAGAAAAAGATTGGAGAATATCGTTGAAATTGATATTATATGTATTGATGAATCAGTATTGAATATACAAGTGAATATTCAAACTTTTCATTCAAGTGGAAGTAATTTGTTTCTGAGTTTGACCTATCTATCTGAGTGGGAGCTAAGAACCATTTAATATCAATGATTTTTGGTTCTGATGAGAGCTATCTATCCGAGTGGGAGCCATCCAAGAACTATCTAATTTAATGATTCTCGGGTCCAAGTTGCATCTAAGAGCAAGTTCAGAAAATCAGAAGATGAATTTTGGAAAAGTGATGAAAGTATATACATGAAGTATAGAATTTTAACCTAATCTGGGATTTGGTGAAAGTTCTATTCGAACATTATGTTTATTGATAACATTCAGGTTCTTAAAAGTTAAGTGGAAGACTAATGAGTTTTTGATAGATAAAGCTCATTTTTTAAAAAGGTTATACTCAATGTGAGTTTATTGAGTTGGATAAAATTTTTCATAACAATGAGATTCACTTCTATACATCAATGCTAGCCATGATGGTATGTTTAAATTTAGAGTTACATCAAATCGACATAGAGACTGTATTTTTTATTCTCAATTGAGAAATGATTAAAGATATCAACATGAATCGACTTTTAGATTTCATGTTAAAGGCTTTTTTCTGTATTGTGGTAACTTTACAGTTACACGCATGGCCAAATACAGTCATCTCGACAGTCGTACTTAAGTTTTTAACAGAGTTAAATCTCGTACAAGAATTTCGTCATATGGACGAAAATTAATGTATTTGTATAAAAGGTCTGATGGTAGGTTGTAATTCTAATATTGATATTGATGACATTGGATTGGCCAAGCATGATAAGGAGTATATAGAGACCAATTTGAAATGATTGTCGTCACTTTTTGAGACAAAAGACATGAGTTTAGTAAATTGTATGATTTGTGCTAAGAATAATTTTTGTATGTTCTTGCTCTATCATAAGAGTTTTATAGTATAAATGCTCATGTGGAATTGCAACTGTGACCATATAAGTCTTCATAAATGTCCAAAGACTTCATGAGTGCACAAAGAAATATCTAGAGAACCATATCTAGTACGATTAAGAGTTAGAAGATAAAAGTATATTATGATATATACTTTTCCTAACAATGGTCATGCCATGGATCTAATCATTAGGTATCAATATTATCTTTAGAAAATGTATTGTGATACCCGAGGGTGCTGCTGTCAGTTATTCTATTTCGTTGTCAAATAAATAACTTATTATTGTTGATTAATAATGAGAGTTAATCGAGCACAATTGATTATTTGACTTGTCCGCTTTTGCTATATAGAGTAGCAAGAAGCATATGTTGTTATGTATATCTTGGCAGCTAAAGAAATTGTTTGGTATGGGTGTATTGAGTATCTAATGATACTAGTTAAGAATAAGAGATCCATG